TTTATTTTATTATTTTTATGTATATGTGTATATGTATATATATATATTATTATTTGATTTTTTCATTTTATATATTTAGTTGATGTTTTCCCTAACTTTGTGCGCGACCCACAATCACCTGCCACCAGTATCAATCAAAAGGTTGCCTGGAAGAAATCGCTGTTCAGCGATAAGGCCGCCCATTGCACGAATGTAATTAATTTATTTTATTTTTTGTTCCTTGCAATGTATTTATTTTTACTTTTTTTGTGCAATAAAGTGTTAAATAAAAAGTAAAATAAAAGAAGCAAGTAAACTAGATACTTTTGTAGAACTTATTCAGTAAAACATCCTAAAGAGCATAAAACGGTATTTAGGTATTATGGTAAATGTTAAACAGAATTCATATCCAATCGAAAATGGATACTGTAAAACAATTATACTGTGTTAACAATTCATACTGCGGATTCTTGTTCTTCTATGCTGGCTCTTTTGCTGCCGGCCATTCTGTGCAAATTGTAGAGTAGCCTAACCCAATCGAGGCGATGAACATCGTGAACGACAGACATATTTTGTTATACCTAATTAAATCCAAACAATAGCTATTTTCCAGTACAGCATTGTGGATGCAAAATTTATCAAATGTAATTAATAGCTATTTTGTCTCGATGTCAATAAAAACCACCAATAATTCATGCAGTTTGTTTTAGTTCTTAGTTTAATTATTTAATACACCCCAACGTGACACAGTAGTAGTAATCAACAGGAACGCTATGGTCATCCACTAGAGAGAGAGAGATAAAGAGATAGAGAGAGAGGTAGAGATAGAGATAACAAGTGTGTGTTTATGAAGGAAATAAAGATAACGATCGGATACACTACAATAGCCAAGCTACACTTTGATATATGTTAGAACACTGATATAAAAGCATGTTTAGTACACATATCTATGTGTACATAGTTTTGTTTGTTTTTCAGCACTAACTGAAAAATGAAACATATAAAATTATCTAAATTGACACAACAATCACTTCTGATAAATTTGTTTTAATCTTCATACTATATCTTATAGATTACTTGCTAATGTTATCAACTTATTTATTTTCTTTAGGACAGCGATAAGAAATTATGTTATTTATTAAATATCTTGTTTTGATTTGACAGAAACAGAAAAGGTTCAAATGCGGACAAGGTCTAATAGTACCGGTAGTGAAGGATTACCCATCAGAAGACAACATGCCTCAGGTTAGCATACATTGTTATTATAAGGACGAAATCTGGTTTCATTTTAATACAAAATTTTACTTGATCACTGTTTTTTAAATCGACACCAATTTGATTTCTTTACCATTATGAGCACCGAGCACCGTCACTGTCTAAGTAGAACCGGCATTTTTATAAAAATTATAAAGCATCCGATAATTGTAGTTAGTACTTAAACTTTTTAATATCTAAAATACATACAAAAGAAACAGAAACATTTCACAAAACACTATCTTGTGACCTAGTTATATTTATATAGCCCTGGTTGCAAGATCGAAAAGATCGCTTTGCATTTTTATTAATTGCAATCGCTTTATCATAGATTATATAAAGTTTATTTACTACAAATAATATCTGCGACTCATATCGTTCACTCAATACAAGCTATAGTTGTAATCGATTCACAGTCTTTTATTTTATTTTAAATGTCTAGTGCATTGGTTCCCAAAATTGATTGGGCTTCGACTCATCTAACAAAACATTCCATTCTTGGGAACTATCACTCAACTGTACTCTTATTTGCATATAGAACTTTTAACTTCACCAGTCACCGATCTCCTATCCATAGACCGAACGTTATATTCCCATGCCGTATCTTCCGTTCACCACATCCACATGTATTTATCGGCCACCATCAGATGCCCATTCTCCTTTAAAGCTTCCACCGCTTACGATAATCGATCGGTATATCTGTATTTATCGAACGTGAACCCGTACGGATCGGCGTCGTTCACTCGTTCGTGGAGCACGTCGTGCACTCGCTAATAGCACTGTTACACCTCAAGATGGCAGTCACGCGAAGAGGAGAATGGGGCTGAACAGGGAGCAAATGGAGGCGATGAACCTAGTGTCGCTGGGCGGCGCGGTGCCGGCGGGCAGGCCCACGCACCTGAGCCTCGCGCCCGCGCCGCCCTCCGCCGCCACCTCCGCCGCCACCTCGCCCTCGCCCACGCCCAGCACGCCCGCCGACTCAGGTCCACGCCACGCGACACGGATACGCCTTCTTCTTTTCGAATTTCGAATCCTCCCATGCCCGCTCGCTCGCACGTACAGATATCCGACCCACGAAACGTGTTACGCTTGTCGTAGTCTCTCTTTTTTACATTACGAGACGAATGAATCATGCGAGCTGCCATAGTATTTTGAATATTGATATTGCACGGTGCGGTTTCTTACGACGACGAATCCGAAACAGTAGGCGGGTAAATTGTAGAATTGGATTTTTTTTTTTAAATTACGAATAGAGACAGTTTTACCTCAAGCTATTGGGCACTAACCACATCTGTGCGCCATCATCATTTTTCTATCGCTCTATCCGTTTGAACTACTAAAATCATTATCTTCTAAAACTAAATATTTTATTTCAATGCTGATCAACCAAAGCAAGCTTTTTCTCTTTCGATAACTGCATTTGGATACGATGAAAGAAAATATGAGTGCGAATACTTGATACACAATCGTACAATAAGGACGTGGGCACATGTGCTATTCGTCTCACGTAACTGTTTAAGCGCATTGAAAAGAAAGCGATGACTTGATTATTTCTTCGAAGTGGGACTTATATCTGAATGTGTAATTTTCATGTTTATATAAATGTCAAAGCATAGTACTCCGACATTTATTTGGAGCTCATGGGAGGAGGCGATGTGGATCTAACCTATCTTCTTTGTCAATATTAACGGAATGCCATGTGTGTGCTTTTAGGTGTGCTACTAACGCGGACTAACCGTCGTGGTCATTCGGTGTCTAATATTACCAATCAGTGGATAGTATACTCTCCAATTAAAGATAATTTAATCGTAGTATTACTCTTACAGGTTTTGCTGACGATCTGGTAACCAGAAGGCAAAAGAAGGATGCTCAACTTGGTGGTCAGTATTTTTTTGCCTGTATCTAAGTATTGTTCTTTCATATTATTTTACTGTTCGTTTCGTTCTCGAATTTGTATGTGACAAATAGCTTAGATATACCGCAACCCTAATTCCGGATTTTGATGTCCCTCTAAAACAAATATAAATTAAAAATCATCTGACAATTTTTTATCTTGGCGTGGTCAATGGTTTACTATGTATTTATATAAAACACCGCTCCACGGAAAACTTGGGATACGTCCAGTGGTGACTTTAAATTTTCCCCAGAAGTTAGAGTACGAAATTAGTGTATGGAAACTCGAGTCAAAGCTAAATAATTTTTAGTTCCTTCTACATCTTTTTTTTGTTTTTTTTTAATATTTTGATTAAAATTTGTATTTTTGTTTTAATTCAAAGCAGAAGAAGAGAGGGCCATGCGAAGGGTGTCATATCTCAAAGCGACATGGGGTGACCGGTTGCACTTAGATAGCGATGTAGAACCAGATCCAGAACATCATAACCTTAGGAGGTAAACTATGCAACAAAGATTTCGTGTCCTTTTAAACTTTTAAGTTCTAAAATCCCAATTAGTCATCAAACTATCAACATAATATTGTTACTCTGTAAAAGTAATACCTTTGCATTTTTATAGACAGTAGTAGATTGATTAGTGGTAATTTTATATCTGATTATTAACAATATTTTATTGTAATAGCATCGTCTGTCTCTCCAATTACATAGATTGTCGTAGATAGATATAATTTATCATTTGTACTTGTCCTTGTAGATTGTATGTAACCACAAGTTTATACTACGTAAATCTAACACTATATAGTGATTGGTAATTCAATTTGAACCTACCGGGTGCAGACTAATAGATTTGAAATTTGAACGAAGAATAAATAAATAACTAAAATTGGGTTTTGGAAAATGAACGCAGTATGCATCGCAAGTGGCGCCCACCTCGGTTCACCGACGACATAACGCCGTTGCTACGAATATTCGACCCCCACGCGGTCCTACCGATGCGGTACGTCGCATGACGACGCAGTTTCGCTGCTGCGCGATAGATGGCGCTTATATGATGTGTGCGGTAGTTTATGTAATTGCAATAATAGATGGCGCTAATGATAGTTAAGAAAGATGATGGAAAACCAAATATTACAGTTGGTTTTTTATTAGCATTTTGATGCATTAAAATTTGGCTGAGTAAATAAAGATGAATAATATTCCATATCACTGTTGAGTGGCTTAAAATATAATCAACGTAACAAAATGAATTAAAGTTAACGAAATAAATATCATTTAAGTAAATAAAGTGTGTCTGGTAAGAGCTTAAATAAATTAGGTCTAAATATAGATATTCATAAATGTAAACTGTTTGTAAAGAACATCAAAAGTAACTTGAGTTACCAATATTGCGTGTGTATTTGCATGAAGATGTTGTTTCGATGTTGCATGAGGGAAGAATAATATTAGTGAAACCTGTAGTGTAGACGGCATGTTATCATGAATGTTCTTCTTAGATTAAGATATATATTTAAGATTCTCGATTACAACATAATGTTAGTTTCATTTTAATACAGTCTTAGTTAAAAAGGTATTTATATACTAATATAATCGGTAACATAAGTAGTCATTCGGATTCTCTTTAAAACAATATAAAAGAAACATACGGCTGGTTTTTGAATTGAGAAAAGTACAAAATCTCCACTGATTATTCTTAATAACTTAAGTCTTTTACTTATCGCAAGGCAAAAATTCGTATTTTTTATCAAAATGCCTTTCAGTTCATATGTATAAAAAAAACGATAACCTGTTTAAGTATTTTTTAAGACGTGCTTAACTTTAAATACTCAATTCAGAAACCGGGTGTATGTGAATGAACCGACTACACTTGTTAAGCATTAGAGAAATGAGATCGAGATATGGTTCGTATTTGTTAATATATTTTGTATGTGTATAGCCCAGAGAAGAAAGGCGAGGGCGTATCAGAGACTGAGCCAGTGGAAGGTGACGTACAAGGGAACGTACAAATCAAGATGGTGGTTAGCAACGGAAAGGTTAGTGGTTTCTTTTTAGTTCTTATCGCCTTGTCTTAAGAGTCGACTTAAAAAAATGCTAAAGTAACCCTGTTTGTGTGTCTGTTAACTTTTACTGTGTTAGTCATCATTCATCATCATCAGTCCTTTTACGTCCCCACTGCAGGGGCTCAGGCCTTCCTTATGGATGGTTAAGGAGGATGGGCCATGACCCTCCACGCTGGCCCAATGCGGATTGGAGGGTATTAACGACTGCAAATGTAACCGGGACCAACGGCTTAACGTGCCTTCCGAAGCACGGAGTAGCTCGAGATAATAATTTTTTGGTCACCTATCCCGTGACCGACCCTTGCGAAAGTTGCTTAACGACAAAGATCGCGGGCCGCGGCGCTTATCCGCTACGCCACTGAGCTACTGCGTACTGTGTTAGTGCTACACCTAAACTACTGAATCAATTTTAATGAAAACTAACTATGTCTGATACGCTTGACACAGGTGATTTGAAGCCTAGACTAGTACCTAGACATGTGGACTACTTTTTATATTTATACCTTATTAGTCTACGCAAATAAAATCTATATTAAAATCCACTAAATAGTTTATAAGTTTAATGCAATGATTAATTTTACATAACACCAGAACTCCTTGCGATGTTTACTTGGTTTCTTATTTCGAAATATTTTTTGACAGCGCGCAAGTGACAGATCGTGGAAGCAAGTTTGGGGGGTACTAAATGGCACCAAGCTGTATCTGTACCGACACCACCCGAGCCAGGTAAGTCTATCGATAAGAATGGAAAAAATTACCACCTCTTATTTATAATAATGTCTAAAATTTAAAAAAAAAGTATTTTATGTTATGTTATTTATTTATTACGAAAAAAGTACGTGTTTAATATTCTTTAACAATCTACTTGACGGACAAACAAACTAACAATTGATTAGTACAATTAGTCATCAAACCTATTCAACGACCGCAGTGCTAACACTGTGTAGAAGTTCAATTAAATAAAACATACTTGAAAAGATAATAAAGGTTTTATTCCATTGAAGCTCTATCCAACGCTGAGCTTGACGTCGAATTGAACGCTGTTTTATAGCAAAATAGCATAGCATTTGTATAAATCTAAATTGACCATAGCTTATCAAAACGAATTAGATGGGACCGTCTGACCTTCGCATGCAAGATCTAGTCAATTTATATGTGTCAACCTTGATAACGCACAGTGGTCAAAAACTAGTCCGATTTATAAACAAAACTACGAATTCAAAAATGATTTTGTAAGAAAAAAATACGCTGCCTAATTAAATGTTTATTTAAAGTGATTTGTAATAAAACATGTAACGAATAGCAATTTTAAAGGTAATTAATTACTTCCAGTTAAAGGTATAGTTATAATATATTAGTTCAATATAAGAAAACTACTTTCAAATTTGTTTCATAATCCTTAGTCCTAGTGATAGTGGTCACCTCACTGTGCAAAGTATTTCAGCAAATGTAAATATTTTGGAGTTCCATCGCTTATGGAATATTGTCTTATGGTATATTCCAGGTAAATATAGGCCTTGTTTTCGACGGAAAACTGTTTACGTTGTGTTGTAAAAATAAAAGTCATTATTTTTATTGCTACGATACCACGAATTGATGTCTACGTGACGACGCACCAAAAGTTACATTAAGTATGCTACAAGTTACATTTAAATCAACTTGATTCGTATTTATGCAAAAAACAATGTAATATTTTTTTAATTGTCATATCTTGTAAATAGTATCTGTATCTGTGTACTCGGAAAAGTACATTTATACATCTAAAAAAATATCAACTAATTCGTACAAAATATAAATAATTACAAATATTTTCTGATAAGTAGAGAGTTTAGGCAGGGACTATTCTTTTCTTTTATATGTTTTTTCTGTATTATATCAGTTGTTATATAAATTATTTTAAATTTGATGTGATATTAGAAAATAAATGTATATATGAATTATCATATCCAAAATTTACTTTTAAAATTATGATTATGAAACGATTATGATATATGAATATTGAGTGGGCCCTGATGGGCGATTCGTCACTGTATAAGACATATATTTATGCCCTATTTTGTCTACGTCAGTTGAATAGTCCCAAGATCAAAAATTTTTGTTAGATGGCTCAACTTTGGGAACCACTGGTCTACACAATTGCATAAGACGTGCCGCTGTCTTGTTTTTAAATGGCACTGCAATATAGTTTTTTTTTATGTAGTAATAAAGATTCCTTGACATCAGACAGTAATAAAAATAATAATTTCCAGTGTGATGTTCATACAATATCTCAATTGAGACTGGTCGTATCTCAATTAAGAATGTATTTGTGAACGCGCACGCTTCGTTTGCCGAATGCTCCGTTGCAACAATGGTCTCTAAATTCAAACGTCGTCCAGATTATCTGTTAGATAACGAGTTACTTCCTATCGGACGCACCTGGCCTGCGCACGCGCCGTAGAGTAGGGTGACCACGCGTAATACTAACAGAATCGGGACACTCATTACACGTCAAGTAATACCTGCTTCTATTAATCTCAAAACTCTATTCAGAGACTAAGATATTACTATGAAATATTACTTCCTTCCTACTAATAATAGGCAGAAAATAAAATAATTCATTAATATGTCAACTGAGCTAGAATCACAACACACAATTTCAAAATCTGGGTATCGTGCCAAATAATCTTTTATTTTTTTTATGTTTCACTTGATCAATGAAGTTCTCTTTTGACTGAGTAATTTTCCAATAATATTAGTTAATTACATAATCCAAACTTCGATAAATTATAATCTTCACTGAACACTTATAAACAAGTTAATATTATATCATAAAAAGTATAAAAAAAACAAACGATATGGGTTGTAAATAAATAATTTTATGACTAACTAGCTATGTCTCGCGACTTCACCGTTTAAAAATTGTGAAATATGTCACCCGCGCATAATGTAGCTTCCAGTAGATAAAATAATTTTCATGATCCGATCAAATTTCCGAAAATTTCACCCTACAAACAACAGACAAACAAAATAAGAAACTTTACCTCTTTATAATAATTAGTATAGATTCTCCCATAATGTATGAACCCGTTCATTACTGGTGGAACCCGCACCTTCGCCGTCAACAGACTGTGACCAACGGACGTATATCGCACCCGGACGTATATCGCCTCAACAGCTGTCATATACATCTCATTTATTACCATAATTACTATTGAACTGTACTAAAGATCAATTCACAAGTTATTCGTGGCTTACTACTAATGAATGTCGTAAATATCTTACGTTTTGTTTGTTTCACCGTTACGTATTGAGCACTGTCAACAAAAGTAAATAAATTCACAAGATGATGAGTCATTTCTTTTTAAATTGATTTTTAGCTCTATTTGGCAGCGAGGACCAACGAATTAACGTGCCCTCTAAAGCACGGAGCATGTCGAGATAATAATTTTTTGATCACCCATCCCGTGACCATTGCGAAAGTCGCTGAACAACAACGATCGCTGTCCGCGACGCTTATTCACTATGCTACCGAGCTACTCTTACTGTGTACTTGTCCTTTAAAGTTGTCTATGACAAAGTGTCTTCATTAATCCTATATCTTAATCGTGGTATTAGCCAACGAGCAAGTTAGAAGTTGACGCGCTTCAGCACCTCGTTCAGCACGAAGGCTGCGTAACGCGTCACTACAAAGGGCCGCCATTAACACGTAAAATATTTTCAGACACATTGACCTTTTGAAAACTCTATTAATGTCACCTGTGTAGGTACATAATTACGATCAAAACACGTATAGAATATTTGACTGCTGGATACATTTCGAGATGAATAGATGCACGTTTTATTCGTTGGCGTATTAGAGAATTTGAATTTTTTTTTTATACCACAGTAATATATGTTGTAAAGTTCAAATGGTGTTTTGAATAATTTATAAAACCAAAATCTCAGATAAAAAAGAAATAGAAATCTAATAAACCGACGCCTCTTGTAGGCGCATATTTATGTGGATTTGAGCAGATTCAATGAGGAAAACCATTGCCAGTTCGTGAAACCGGATTCCTCATTTCATAAAAATACTTTTTCTTTTTATTGTCACTATCAATATTTTATTTTTATTCAGAAGGAAAATATTGATATAAAGTATAATGATATAATAATAACTATTGAAATAAAGAAAACTGAATGCGGATATTTTGTGTATAGATTTTCACACTATTTTTAAAGCTTTTTTGAAGTCTGTTCTATTTTTAAAACTTTAGTTTGTGCGCAAGTTTTACTTTCATCCCGGCTGCTGTAAGCTCGAGTGCGAGTCGTTTTTTTTTCAGAAAACTGCTTATCTTAAAACCAGTTACCGTTTTCGAACCACTTTCCGTGGTGGGCATTAATAATTCGTGATTTGCATTTATCTCCAAACTAACGAACCTAAATCCCTAAACTATGGACCAAACTAATTTACAGATTTCATAAATGGAATTAGAAAATTTATATAGGATAGGTATTTTTAGCTCCTCGGCGGCCGGTCACGTAAATGTCACGTAGATGAATAAAACTGAACGCAGACGTAACCGCAGGCTAAATTCGTTGTAACGAGCGTTGTTAAGTTACTGCTTTATGAACATTCGCGTTACATCTGACAAGCGACAAACGCATTTAGACTGTTGCGCAATCGTCGCTCTGAATACTGTAATGGCGGCTAAATATATCCGTTTTATGATTTAACGACATGCAGAAAATTCTGCATTATTTTTGCTAGAGATTCACTGAAATCACAGAATGTAATCATCCTAATACTCTATTTAGATTGCGTAATAAGAAATATTGTTTACATCTCGCTAGGGCAGATATTGGTGTTATAAACATATAACAAAGTATTTGTTACCCCGTGTCTTCACCTACTCTAATTATCGTTTATGTCACCTGCGTATGATGTAAATTCCCATAGGTGATAGAATTGTTATGATCGGATCAGTATTTCCAAATATTACTCCCACAAACAACAAACGAAGTTAGTTACCTCTTTATAATGCTAGTAAAGATAATTTGCCGGCATTTTATTGTCAATTTTTTATCAGTTAACCTCGGATATGCAATTAAATTTTTTTCTTTACTTACGTTTTATTGCATTAGAAATAATAAAACTACCACCATTAATCAAATACAGACGTAAAAAAAAACCTTATTACATTATGTTATAAGAATAGTTTAAATTAACTTTAGAGTCAGCTACAAATCGAATGAATCAATACTAATAAAACATATCCTGACTTCTGATTTTATAATATTTTCGTGTCCCTTATTGCTAGAGTCCTAAAGATGCAAATGCTTTCATACTTTCACGGAAGACATTCCTAACGAAGAAATGGATTTAGACATTCTGGGAATAGAGACTATGATATTTCGTCGTTTTATTAATAAAGATACAAACGCGTCGCGTAAAACCCATGTGTTGTGTCAGAAACGTTTATAATGTTATAGAAAACTTCGTTGTTTTAGTATTTCTGGAACACAATAATAAATAAGCCTATGTATCGAATATTTTACGCTGAAAATGTTGAAATATTTTAGAAAAAGTCAAGGAAAATTGTTGAAAGGTAATTCGGAAATGCGCGCCAACAAAGTGACAGTTGAAAAGGAGATAGATGATGACGCTTACTATTAGTAACACTTTATTATTAAAAAAAAGGATTTTGGCTCAGTGCTAAATTTTTTTTTAACTGTTATGCTTTTTATGAATATTTAATAATATG